GAAAAAGATAAAACGATAAAAAAAAATGTTGGATTATTTCGAGCAAATGTTATTTGAAGTTCTGCATTGTCAGGATCGTTTTCCCAAATTTAAATTTTAATTTACTAGTTTCCATGCAGATATACTCGCGGAAAACCTAACCTAGCCAAGGCCACGATAACCTGTTAACATCAGTTTCTAATGGGTTTGCTAAATAATACTTTTAATCGCTAAATTTGACGACTTTTTCAAACTCAATCATCAAATATCACCCCAACATATACTATACGTTTGTATAAAACAATACTTATAAAAATCATATCGTCTGGTATGAGACGCTGATGGATAACACAAATTCGAAAAAAGTAATTGTCGACTATTTACATGTGAGGTATTAAACAGTGTTGAAATCATCCATACTTTTCAAATATATCAATATTTTTTATTGTATTTTTAATGGATAAAAACTTTAAATGTGAGCTGGGCAAATAAAAGATGTAGAAGTAAGAAAAACTGTATTAACAAAAATGTCCGAAACTAAAATATGCCGATATAGGAGATAAACTTATTTGTCTTTTTCTTTTCACCACAGTTTTTTCATAATATAAATTTATTCATAATTACTGCCATTATTACAGTATATATTGTACAAGAAAAAAAGTATGGTCCAAATCCTGACTACCAAGCTACCTGACTATGGTAACATTTACTGTGGTTTGGATCTATGGGAACACTAAAATAATGGGATTTTTACCGAGGCGATTCATTAATGACTTTTGGTAAAATAGCAATAAAATATGGTTTTATTTCTAATCTGCTAGGTAGTAAATATGGTAAAATTTGGTAATTTTATCATACATAAAAACCATTACTTCGGTTAAATTAACTTTTACATTTTTATACTTTACTAATTGAGTAGTGATAAGAACTTTAATTTTGAGAACCAGATTTTCCAGTAAACTAAACAAAAAAATTACCAAATGAACTGCTTAAATACAGAATATATTGATTTTATTAATCAAAACTATGGGTTTATATTATAAACAGATGTCATTAATATGCAGTGAGGTAATTTTATCAGAATTATTTTTTCTCCAATTGGAAAGAGAACCCGATTTTATCAAAGCGATTCTCGTAAGTTCTCTATATTGCATTTTCTCGCATAAAATTTGAAAACTATATCTGTCATTTATTTTTTGACTTTTATTTACGTAACAATATTTTTTTTACAGAAAATATCAGTTTTGTGCATCTGTAAATTCCTCAAAATGCAAAAACTGCACGTAATTGCTTTATTATAAAATAAGAGAAAATAAATTTTGTAAATCAACTACATATTCCGAAAAACATGTTGGGTAGATTGTTTTTAAAAAGTCAATTTAAGATTACGAAGTATTCGAAGGAAGATAAGAACTTGACGTAATAACATCCAGGTATAAAAAAAATTCCTTCCAAATTGAAATGCGATACATGTAGCCTCAAACAGCTATAAATTACATAAATTCTTCCTAAAAAAACTCGTTAGATTCTATCTTGTTATGAAAAAAGAGATGCGTACACAAACTACCGAAGCTGACAGTACTTCATCTGCAAGGTAAAATTATATTTTAAAGTTGGGGTATCATAAAAAAAAACATTTTGCTGGGTAATAAAGAAAGTGACATAATAATATCAGATATCTGCCATGCCAGTGCATGAACATTAACTTAAAAAATAAGCTTTTTTGAAAAATAATTCGGTAAAGAGAGTGATTTAATTGATGCATATTTTCTTTTTGAAACCTAATAGCAGTGAATTTTATCCAGATATTAGGTTTGATTTTGAAGGTTTTTGTCTCTCATTGAATTTACTTTTGCCGAAAACCGTTTTAAGTTTTCTAATATACGAGATATATTCAAAAAAAAGTTTTCTGATTCCTATTTCAAAAACTGGTGGTTTAACCCTTTGATGTAGAATTTTTATTAAAAATATTCTTCATACTTCTTTTATTATTTCGTATTAATTTTGGTCAAAATGAGTGGAAAAATTATATTTAGAATTTTAATTATTCATAGTTATGAAATACAGCATGAAACACCAGTGTTTTTTTTAATGTACTAAAGGTAAAATCTGCCAAACACGGCTCGCTTACAAGCAATAATTTTTTAAATTAGCACTTATTTATACTAATTTAGATTTTATAGAAACAATTATTCATCATTGAAAATTTAATTCACAAAATCAATTATTGATAAAGTTTTGAATATGAATGCACACAAAAATTTAATATGTATAAATTAACAAAATTTATATATATATATANATAATTTGATTTTTTAGTACAAATATAATTCCTATAACCTATCAGATTTTATTTTAGCAACTATTAGTTTGTTTTTTATAATTAAAAAATACTAAAATATATATTTTTACCACTAATTGAAATGTCAGAAAAAGAATGCATGAAAAGGAGACCGGTTGTCCCATCTGCGTCATAGGGTTAAAGTTATCTACATTTCAGATTATAACCATTTTCTAAAATTTCTACTTTTATTACTTTTTTGATTACTTTAAATTTAAAATTTATAAATAATTTTTGTTTACCAAAACTAATTTTCTAAAAAATTATATTTTTAGTCTACAAAAATTTTGTGAAGTGTAAAAATTAGATCTTTTAGTGTTTCAAAATATGAAGGAAAAAAATTATAAACAAATTACACGCTGAATTAACATGTTTATCAGATTTCGTTTAAGTATTCTATATGATGAAACTAAATATTCCACCAAAGATAATACTCGACATAATAGTATTCAGATTCAAAAAAGAATTTTTCCGAAAGGAAATATATCCTCAGCTGTTATAAATTAAGTTTATTTTATTTAAAAAAAAGCTCGTTTATGATTTGTTCTGTTATAAAACAAACATGCAAAAACTATTGAAACTCACAGTGTTTTATACACGATGTAAAATTAAATTTCAAAGTTAAGGTACCGTAAAATATATTTCACTTGCTTAAAATGGAAGTAAAATAATAATATCAGAGACATTCAATACCAGAACAGGAAAATTAACTTAAAAAAAAACATGCTTTTTTGGAAAAAAAATTCAGTAAACGGAGTAATTTAATTGATTCATATTTTTTTTCAAATATAGCAGCGGGAAATTTTATCTAGAGATTATGTTTGGTTTTGAAATTTCTTTCTTTTTAAATGTTCCCTTTTTTGAATTTAATGAAGTCAAAATTCATTTCAAATCTTCGAACGCTAATAAATAAACAATTTCCTTTGAGTCATATATGCTAAAAAAACAATAAATATGTATTATGTTATTTGTAAACAATATTATGTCCAGAAAAAAAATATTTAGACAATTTTCATTATGGAAATGCGTATTGATTTTAATATTAATTTCACAGTTGAGAAATTTCTAACTCTGAAATAAATAATAGCTTTTATAAAATCTAATAATAATGTTTGTTTTTAACTGTATTGCAATTTTAATGGAAGATATGCTTTAAGATAATTGAGATAGAAGAAAAATTGACTATAGGATGTTTTTAAAATATTTCTTATAAAATATTTCACTAAGATATGTAAACATATGCGACTCTTATGTTATTTAAAAATACAAGATATATTTTTTAATGAATACATGATGTTTATTATGTTTTCCCTCATCGCACGAATTTCGCTTACAAGGCAAATGTACGTTGCGCAAAATAAAAAAAATAAAAAAACGGACCACCTTGAATAACTTTTGATCAAGCGATCGGATCTTCACTCAATTCTTAAGGTTCGAATGGGTGATTTCAAATCTGCCAATTAATTTGTGCATACGATATTTTAAGTTATGAAATGAGACACAAAAACTTTCTTTCTTTGAATAAATATACCTTTTTTTAACGAATTAGAATTTTTGTTTGACCTATAGGCTGTAGCCGCCATCTGCGACAAATGGCCCTAATTTGGTCAAAAGAATGGTCCAAAGACTCCTTAATGTTAATTTTACTTTTTGCGTATTTCACTGTACCTCAAGAAATTTTTAAGCGAATTGAAAATATTTTGCATATATAAATTACAAAATTCGCTTTTCCAAAGTTGCAAATTATAACTCTTACAAAATATTTTTTTAAATTATTTTACTTAAAAATGGTCGAAAAAATTGTGATTTGTAAAGTATACTGCTTTTGACATCATTTTAAAGAACGTCATTTTACGTGGTAAAATACAAGATCTCAGCGAAATCGGTCGAATAGTTCTCGAGAAATCAAATTTTAAAAATATATAATTAATAAGGTTATAATAAGATCATAATTACTGCTAACTTCGAGTAAGCCTGTTTTTTTATTGTAATACTGTACTTGTACACTAGAAAAAATTATGGTTAAAACTGCCAGAATGTGGTAAATGGTATCGTGTTTCTTATTTTATGAAAACACGAAGCGCTTTTGTAATGGTTTAGGTAATATTAATAAAAAAATATTATTTCATGAACCATTTCAACTATTTTTTTAAAAAATTCAGTAAATGTGGTGAAATTTGATAATTTTATCATGATACCTCAGATCACAGCATAAAAGCATTTATTCGGTTAAATTTATCTTTAAGGTTTGTATTTTCTATAAATGCGCCGGTAATAAGAACTAAAATTTTAAAAACCAAAATTTCCGGTAAACCTTTACCATATGAAAGGAAAATTTTATCAAATGAATGGTTTAAATACAGCACATTTTGGTTTTTATTGCCAGAAATATAGTTTTTTTTTACTATATACCACGATTAATTTACCAGATGTTTTTCTCCGAGTAAAAAGCAGCATGATTAATATTTAGTATAATTAAAAATTTGGATAATTTTGTTGAACAAACTATATGCAGTTTAAGATGCTTTTAATTCCGAACAAAAGAAAGTGAAATTATTTTTAATCATAAAAATAAATTATAATCAATTGATCAATCATAATCAATATAATCAAATCAATTATAATCAATATAATCAAATCAATTATAATCAATATAAGATCAATTAATTGTATGACATACCTGCTTCTTGGAAGATACATAGAACCATCAATGAAAACGGAACCGGAAAGTAGAATAAACCAGCACGTACTCAATTCACCTCGACTGAAAAAATAAAGAAATTTTTTTTAAAATTTTCAATACATATCACGAATTGCAAAATATCTAAAATAAATAAAACAATCATTAAAACATGTTTATTCATCTGTCATATGTTATGATAATAATAACAAGCTCTCAGAAATAAAAAATTTTATTAACTGAATTTGTAAAATACGTTCCATAATTGCAACGTATTTAAAGTATACGAGAATAAGAATTAAAAATCACGAGTTACAGTTAATTAATAAACAGTTTTTTACACTTCACTTGATAAATACGTGCAATGAATTTATCTGACTTTAATGATTCATCATTTTGATTCATAACAACAAAAAACTAATAATAAAGTTAATGATGCGAAACATAATAAAGAACAAAAATAATTCAACATCCGGTCAAGGAATAGCGGTTAATACAAAAGTAAGAAGAAGGCTCTTATCTATTAATTTTTTATCAGATAAGATTGCTTTCATGTTAATTTTTTTTATTCTTATAAAGCAAAAGAAATTAAATTAAATTTGTTCAAAATTTTCCAAGGTGAGTTGGTTTTTACGCTGTCATTTTCCCGGCTTCTCGAGATCATTAATAACAAAAACTACAAAGATTTATCTGAGTTATTTTAAGAAATCCTGTTGTTTTCTGCAGAATATAAACGTCTTCGGCCAAAATATTAAATGAAAGTAAAGTTATATGCTATAAAATGGCGAATTTTTCATTATCCTGGCTGTCATTTTCCTGGCTTATGAATACCTGGACATTGAAGTGTTACCAGAAATTCTTTTTAACTGCTAATACTGTAAAGAGGGAAAGCAAATATTAACCTAATACCAAGTTTATCTATGATTGTAATATGCTTGGATGTAATCAAAGTTATTTATTTATTCAATGATTGATTATTATACACAATTTTATTCTTTACATATCAGCAAAAAATTTTTTTTGTTTCTTTCTACAGTGGATAAAAAGAATTAATTTAAGCAATTTATGGTCTATCTAACATAAAGGCTTAAGTTGAGTTACTTACTATTAACTTAAGATGACTGTTTTTTAAACTTCTAAGGTAATATGTCATTTTCGTGACATTCAAGATTTGGTGAATTTCTATTTTATTTTTTCTCTCGATCAAATGTCAATAAACTACACTGCTGTCTGTAAGATATTAATAAGTGTAGCAAAAGAAGCATACAAAAAAAGTTTTAGATTATTTTGAAGACTTTAAATTTGAAGAAATGTTTTGGTCCGAATTGTCATGTTTCGTGAGAATCACCCATATATCAAATATGCTTAAGCATTTCAAAAATATTAAACAAATTAAATGTTTTATATTAGGTTAAAAAAAGTTTTTCTTTTTGGAATTATTTTAAGTTTTTCTTTTTGGACATTTTGGAATTATATCAAAGAAATGCCTTAAAAAAAGTGAGCAAAAAATAACAAAAATAATAATAATGGAATGGAATAACTTTTGATCTAGTGATCGGATGCTCTAGGACTCAATGTTAATGATTCGAGAGGTTAACCTCAAATGTGCTAATTAATTAGTGAAGTTACATTACATTCTGGGTAACATTAGTGCTTTGAGTTACATAATCATACACAGAAATGTAACTTTCACCGAATAAACACACCTTTTTTTCCGACGGATTCGGATTTCTGACCACTAAAATATTGAGAGGAGCCTCAATCAGAGAAATAAGGTCTCAATACTTTGGTCAAGTGAGCAGGATCTTCACCTTCTAGGACTCGATCTTAATGGTTTGTGGGGGTGACCTCAAATATGCTAATTAATTAGTTCAAACGAAGTTTTTGGTTAAAAAAAAATCAGACACAAAAACGTATTTTCTCTGAATAAACATACCTCTTTTTCGATGGATTATGACTTCTAAACCCCCAAGGGTAGCCGCAATCTGAAAAATAGGGTTCCCATAGTATACTCAGGAGAGTGGTCATAAGTTTGGACCCTTTACTGTTAATTATACTTTTTGCGTATTTCGCCATACCTTTGTAAACTTCTTAAGCGAATTTAAAAATCTTTGCACACAACTATGAAATTCGTTTATCTAAAGATAATTTTATGCAAAAAAGTAATTTCTTGAAAATTTTTATTACTTTATTTAATAATAATCGAAACAATTTTAAATTGTAAGGTATACAATTTTTTACATCATTTCAAAGAATGTATTTCTACTTGACAAAATACAAAATTTGAGTAAAATCAATCGAATAGTTCCTGAGAAATCAATTTTTAAAAAAAGTCTTGTATTTAAAATTTGATTTCTTTGTTATAGAGAAAGTACGTTTTTGTGTTGGATTTTGTAATTTAAAACATCATCTGAACTAATTAATAAGAATATTTTTGGTCACTCTCTCAAACCTTTAAGATTAAGTGCTAGAACACGATTATAAGATCAAAAGATATTCAGGATTTTTTGTATCTTTTTTCTTTTTTTCTTTTGCTTACTGTACATATGAATTATGTTGTATTAAAAAAATTAATTTCTGTTTTTAATGTTAAGAGGGAGACTCTAGTTAATAAGAAAAACACGACTGATTTAATTGGATTAATCAAATACAATTTTCCTTTTGTTAAGGAGTTTGTATAACGAGATTTGTTTAAATTACTGAAAAAATACATCAAAAATAGGACGTAATTTAATAGGACGTAATGCCGGTTATGGAGATTTTTATAGTATAAGTTAGAAAAAATAATAGAAATAAAATGTTTTTAAAATTTAACTTTATTAATATATTTACGTATGAACACTCAGGAAAAACAATTTACCATAATTTTTTACAAGTTGACCAACTGTATAAAACCTTAAATTAAATCACGTGTTTGTTCAAATTTAACGATTAATATCGTGAAAACGAGTTTAAGGGCATTCGATAATATGGTTGAACTTATTAAATATGTATTTAGAATATGTATTGAAGTAGTTTCGAAATTGAACGATAGTGAGGTTCAACACGTACCAGTGTAGCAGTTTTAAGCAACTCGTTTTAGGTTCAAAATTCAAATTTCTAAATGATGAAGAAAACTTATTTCGGGAATAAATTAAAATTTTGATTGCACCGTTAGCAAAAGCAACGGATGTATAATTTTAATTTAAAAGTAACAGTTTAATAGTGAATCATGCAAAACAAGTATTTCACCATAGATTGCCAATTCAACGGAAATAATGACTTATAATTGCATTCAAAATATTTTTTCATTGAACGGAAATAATTATCATTCTTTAAAGGCCTACCCAAGCTTTCTAACTGTTAAAACTGTTTATACTATTTTCCATGTTGTTATGCGTTCGTAAAATTAACAACTCTGCATGCACTTTCAATTGATAGATGCAAACGATAATTCTCTGTGGAGAAAGTTTTGCATATTGTCTATAAACGAGTGTTCCATTCTGTTCACGTTGCCAGATTTATTGCGTGTTTATGACAGACGATAATCACCATTGCGTGCGAGGAAATTGTTCTTAAGTTGTTGCCCTTTTTTCCAAGGTAAACTGACAATTCTCATATTCTTCGAAGATGTAAATTCACCAATTTGTACAGAAATAGATAATGGACTCTTTATCCTTGAGATCTTCATCGGTTTCTCTATATTGTCATATGGTTGAAGTACGTTGTTTTACTTAATATAAAATTAAGCACTTTGAAACAAACAATATTAAATGTATGAAGTACGTGCGTGCTACTATAAATTTACTGATTAATGACATTATTAGTTAATGGCTAATGATTGAAATTATTAATTTAAAAATTCTATCAGTTTTGTATTAATAAGGGAATTATTGTGTGTTGTAAAAAAATCCAAATTTCTAAAATTGTTCTTAAGTTGATGCCTTTTTTTCCCAAGGTAAACTGACAAAAGTTAAATTTACCAGTTTGTGCAGAATTAGATATTTAACTTTTTATCCTTATGAGATCTTAGACGACAAAGAATTAATTGTCTTGTTGACATTGGGATATTATTCAATCATAATATGGTAAAGAATTTACTAATGCAGATAAAAGATTGTCAGTTTGAGGAGACCTGGGAGACATATAGTTTCTGGAGGCCTTTCGGAACAAATAGGAATTAATTAATTAATGAAAATTTACTAATTTTACATTATAAGTTGCACTAATGTGTTTTAAAATTCTAAAATTTGCATGAATTTCTCATGTTTAAAGTCGTTTCTGGAATAAATCAGATGCTTAATAATTATCAATCAATGGGATATTATTCAATCATAATATGGTAAAGAATTTGCTAATGCAGATAAAAGATTATCAGCTTGAATAGACCTGGGAGACTTATAGTTTCTGGAGGCCTTTCGGAACAAATAGGATTTAAAATGGCCTTCTATGTTTTCCCTAATTTTCCTTCTTTTTTTTTTGTATCCGTCGTTGAACAGCTGACCCAATTTTTTGGGTTCACGACTACTACTCCGTAGCCTTGTAATAATTGATGTTCAACTCCGCAGCCTTGTAATTTTGAACCCAATCCAGAAGACAAGGGAACTCTTGCATCAAGTAGTGGGAGAAATTTGCCTTCGTGGAGAGCTCTTTGATGGAACTAACCCTCATATGCATTAGAGAGGAAAACCACCCACGGTTAATCTGACGGCAAGGGGTCTCTAACCCATGATCCGTCTACCATTGAGGATATTTTACATCGGTACTGTGGTTAGTGCAAGCTGGATGCAGAATTCGCTTCGACCAGCCATCGCTGGTATTCGAACCCGGCTCACCTCAAGGCAAACCCTCTATCCACTGAGCCTTCACGGCTTCACTTAATATTTATGATGACCCAAATTAATGGGATAGAAGTACGTTTCATAAGCTAAAAAATTTAACTCCCATAAGAAAATTTTGATGGGCAAAAAATATTTCGAATTCTAACTTTCAAAATTTTGTGACTTTAAAATTCGTTCAAATATTTATTCTTTCAAATATTTGTTCTCTCATTTCTTACAGCTAAAAGTTTTTTTAAGGCTTCGTAAAAAGGCCAAGGGCCACCC